CCCCCTCCACAAGTGAAAATACGTTTAGGAAAAAGCATAAAGATTTTTTCTTTTTTTTTATAGCTTCATTTAATAGACTGAATTCAATGACGGCCACCAATGACTTTCAGAAATAAAAACTAATCTTTATAAACACCACCAACAGAAAGAGCATACAGAAATATGTGATTTTGGATTCGAGTGAAGTTTTTTGGAATCAAAATCAAAAATTTTTTTAATGTGTTCAGTTACTTGTAATCTTGGCCTCACCTCATTCTTGTGTTTTGCACTTTTTTAAAATTCTCATAACTTCTAAACAACTTAATGTTTCTATCTAAATTTATGGTAACGAAGTGGTGGCCATCATTGCATTCGTCGTACGGTATAATGTATATAAATAATAATTTTGAGAGTGGCCCACAACTTTAGAATGTTTATGATTATTACAATATTCTTATAAATAATTAATTATCTAGAGAGTGACATAAAATTATAGAATTGAAATGAGAAATGCTACAAAGGGTATGTACTCACTGGCTTTTTAGCCGCATCAAATGTGTTTTCTATAGCTGCAATTTGACTCTCTCTATCCTGTCATAAATTGAGACAAAATCTTCATTTTCTCTAATAAGCACCATCCTCTACAGTTCTGTTGCAGAGCATAACTTTTAACTGTATATTTACATGTACGACTACACTGCAGAAAGAAAATATCAATGTAATGCTGCAAGCCCCCAGGCGAAAAGCATGGGAAAAGCAAAGCTACGTATTTTCTTAGCTTTTTTGACACTTTTATGGACAGTGGTGAYGATAAATTGTAATATGCAACAACTAGTGTAGCCAATATTCAGTACATACCTTGTAGAGATCTGTACCCTTGAATTTCTTTCGTATGCTATAGCCAACCCTGTAATATGCAATGAAATAAAATAATACTAAATACTATACCATGTGCCTACACACGTAAATCTCGAGCACCATTCTTGCAGTATGTAAGAATATGTGGCACATAGCAGCCTTTTTTGAGTTTTTAAAAACAGGATGCAAACACCATGTAAGGCATGGGGAACAATAATATATGTTTGTACCCAAGCCGCTAGACGTTTGTTATCTCAGAACAGGTCAGTTATGACTCTTTTATCCAGTTTACATTTAAAGTAAAAGAAAGTGCATTTTTAAGACAGTTTTGGGCACTGTGGTAGTCAAAGAGTTAAGTTATTAATAAAAAACGGACTTACTTTGTCTCAGCCATCTCATTACTTGTAAGAGATCTGTTAAATTCTCTAGAGATGTACTCAGTCTTTCTTAACCATGATACATTCTTGTTGTGATGTCTTGTTCTAAGGCAAAGAAATATAAACAAGGTTGCAATGAATGCAATACAACAAAATAAAATACCTAGTCATTGAGGGTTGAAGATCGAGCAAAATCCTCTACTATAATCTCCTCTCCTAGTATTAAAAAAAATGTAATGAAAACCCTGCTAGTAACATATAATTAAGCTACAGTAGCTGTCATGATAAAATTTACTCAGTCAAACAACAATATAATTTGTTGCAATAATGTACTTATATGCCAAGTTTGAGTTTTCAGAACTTTTGAAAAAAAGTTACATATACTGTAAAACTTCTTTGCTAGCAAATTCTCTCTTGTTGGCAATCCTTGACAGCGAAAATTCTCTACCAACTATTACCAACGAGGGAGACTCCACGAGCAGAGAATAGTGAAAATGGCCCTTTGCATAATCTAGGTTTTGCTCTGCTATGGTCATGCTGTTTGTACATATTATAGAACATTTATTTCATTGTATTTGTATTACATTTGTGCATATAACAAGTTGTGAATTACCGTTTTTGGTCAGGCATAACGACGGAGTCTTCTTCAAGGAGCATTTCATCAGTAGGGTCTAGTGTTGCTAGGAACAAAAATAACGATGATTTAGATTTTAAAGTTCAAGACACTTGGAGAACGTATTACTAAGAGTACTATGGTGCATTGAATATGACTTCAAATATTTGCAGTACACAATACCCCCATGTTACAGGATTGATGATTCATATATTTTGTCCTCAAATTTCATGCAAAAGATCATTCATACTCCTCCAATAAAAATTCTTTGTCCCAAGAATGCCATCAAGGCAATTGAAAAGGTTAATTTTTGAGTCCTAGCTACAAGGTATAGGAAAATTTTTTCTAGACATATGTAAATCAAGAAATTACACTAAATTGCCATTATAAGGATAATATGATTACATGCTTGGGTCAATAAGATCAATGTCAGGTCTATTATATACCTACCATTAGGATCATATGCATACATGCTTGGGTCAATAAGATCAATGTTGRCCCCCAAGTCTATATCAGTTAACAGTTCATGTTTGTAATTTTTCTCCAGTGAGGTAGGCTTGTACTGCACAAACCTGTTTCAGGAAACATCAGTTAATAATGACAAACAAGAAACAGACTCTTAAGGCCAGTCCAGCCTAAACCCTGACTGCTATAATGCAAGTATCTGTCCATTTATAATCCTTTTAAGTTATCATTGCATTATCCCTCCATCCCTCCCACCACCACCACCACCACCTGTAACTACGGTACATTGTGTACCCTGTTCACTTGCTAGTGAGGTACAAAGACCAAACTGACCTGTTTCCTTCAAATGGATATGTGATAAACTTTGCATCAAATGGGATGTCTGGAAGACTGTTATTGAACTTGAGTCGACACACGAAATCAGACCTAAAATTGTAACATTTACCAACTTTCAAATTACTTTGAAACCATTTTGTTGTACAGGCTAGACAATAAGCTTGATCTCACCGCATATCTTCTTATTTCTCTTCAGCAGCATTTTAAAAAGAATTGATTTTTAAATTAGTTCACAACCATAAGATGGTCCCAAAGTCAATTTCTTTCTTGGTGTCAAATATAAAATCTAAGAAAGATAATTTTGATTACATTGTAATTTACAATGTAATCAAAATTATCTTTATGAAAGAAATGCTAGCTTTTTTGGAAGTGGTCCTTTTATTGTCAGTTCTGAGAAGAAGGCTGGTCGACAGTCATTTATTCATGGTAGATTATGATAACTTACTTTGGACGAGTGCTTCCATGCCTGAAAGAAAGACAAACAAGTTTAACAAAGTTTATTGTCGTTTGAGTAGCAAACAAAAACGTTTGAGTAAAAATGCTTACTGATGATCCTCCCGTTTTGATTGACCTTGGACTGTAGGAGGCATTATTGGAAAGCAAACAGGCTAATAAAGGCAAGAAATAAATATTTTGAATGTTAAAAATGTTCACATTTCGTAAACTTGACAAGAGAAAAATCTTTCCGCTATCAAACAAACATGGCCGACTGCATGTGTCTGTACCAGTCCTCGAGCGTGTTTTGTTCTCCGTGAATCTTATTCATAGGTGGGTTACCTGTGTCAATGTATTTTTATTAATCGACCAATGATTTATAAACTAATTTGGTTATATTTTTATGCAAATTGACAACTCCTTAATGATTTAAAAACACAAATTTTGTTATATTTACAAAGTCAAAATACATGGAACGATATAGGACACAGAGAGCCCACCTCAGGTACAGAGACGAGAAAACCTACAAAAAAGAAATCCTCTTTTTCGCCTAACTYTTTTTTTTTAACAACAACGACAACAACTTTATTCTCATTTTTTACCTCAACTTTAAATAATATACAGTTACTAATACAATTCGTGAAGTATTTCTACATAAAAGCAATCAACTGGACATAGGAAAACTGAGGATGAATTTGGGATGTGTGAACTCCCTGTGGTTGGGAGTTTTTCCCGCCACGGTAGCTGCTGGCTGTCATCCCGTTTTTTCCCGCGCGAAATAGTTGCCGTGGAAGCGGATGCTGAGAGTCCTTCTAACAACAAGAAGAGAAGAGAGCTGCAAATCTCTTCTTCTTCATTGACTCTCAGTATGTTAACAGAAGGCTATAAAAGGAACAAAACACACTCAACTCAAGACAATACAACTTTATTTCCACCTCGGCTTTTCCAAAACGTGATGGGTGGGCAATTTTCAGCAAAAAGTAAGCCAGAATCCGATTCTTCTGGCGACATAGCATCCGAAAAATATTCGTGTTTATCTTCTCGTGTTTCAAACGATAATATAAACAAAGAAACAATTCAAAGTGATAGCTCAAAGAGGAGACGAAGCATAGCAGAAGTGAGTGAGTACAAGAACTCTGGTGTGGAAAAAATTCCTCGTAAAAAGCTTAAAATAAGCATGCTGTATGAAGACTACGAAACAAGAAACTCTTACATGGCAGCGTTTTTTAAACTTTTAGGTACGTAAATTTATCATTTTCTTTGTGAAATATTTTTCTTTTAAGTCTAATAATCCTAAACTGAGGGGCTTTGGAATTTATTGAGCCTAAACTTTACATGAAAACACCGCATTTTGCATTTCTTTTCCAGATGACGACATCATTCAAGACTTCCTCTGGATGGATGGATGTGCAAAAATTTCTGATAAAGTAAGCTTATAGAAGTTAAAAGCCGTATTAAAACACAAGACATTTCATTAAAAAAAATTTTCATAGCATTTGAAATATGTTTTTAACTTTTCATATTTTCGTTTCAGTACTTGCTTTCTATGGTATACACTTATTTTAGACGAGGCAAATTACAAAGACGAGAGTTTAACCGGCTTAACTTCTTCGTAGCTCTGTAAGTATTCTATGCAGTTTGACCGTAATTACAAAACTTACTATTAAATGTTAATTTAATGTTTTATAACACTATGCTTATTTGTTTTACATTTAATAGCTATCTTGCGAATGATATGGAAGAGGACGAGGAAGACGACAAGTACGACATTTTTCCATGGGCCTTAGGAAAAAGATGGCGCGAGCTGTATCCGCAGTTTCTTGTTAGGAGAGATATTTTGTGGAAAAAGATGGAATACAGAGCTGTTGTAAGCCGCCAAACTTGTGAAGAGGTACTTGTAACTATAGAGAATTGCAGAGGTTACAGTTTTGTTATCAAGTGTCAAAATTTCGTTACCAATACTATTCCAAAGACGCGGGAAAAGGAAAGGAAGGGAAAGAAGAAAGGAATGAATAAAACGAACAGACACTTTCATTATCATTAATACAAAGACTGAAAGGGGGTAGGGTATTAAAAAGTAAGCTACCCGATTTAATCGTTTTGATAGGATAAACCATACTGATTATAAATCCCTTTTTCCTAGGTAATGATGATTGTTCCAGATCATCCAATTTGGTGGCGTTCAAGAAGACCCCATCATGGAGGTGCTTGGAGAGATAATTCTATATCAGATGTGGATCCTTCCAGCAGCCCAAGGGGACCAGGTTCAAGTCCTGTTATTTGCAGCAAGTGTAGAGTACCACATTCAAAGCAAAATGATACTCCAACCTCTACCTCTGACTATAGTTCACAGTCATCATCTGAGTCAAGTGGCTTCTCAAGCTTTGATATGGAGTGGAGCTGAAGAACTTTTTATTTTTCGAAAAATTATTTATGTAAATATCTAAAAATGATGTGAAGTGGAAGTTATGAACTAAAATATTGAACAGTTTCCTTTTTGAACAAGCTTATTAAATAGCTGGTTTTCTGGGATTTAATCCCATGCATTTCATGGAAAAACCTGTTTGCTACATGGCACTCAAAATTTGCTACTAAGTAAAACAAAGGATTTATTTCAAAAAGTTTGATGTCAATTATGAAGTATGAGTTTCAATTATAAAATAAAGAAAACAACAAATGTGGGGCATGTGAATTTGTGTTCTATCAAGCTTTGACTAGACCAAAAGAGTCTGCAATTTGATAGAATGTTTATTTTTATTACAAACATTTTATGCCCTAAATTTCTTAATGGGTTTAATATCTTATGGCAATTTTGTTTTTGCATACAGGCCCCTGTATACTGTACTACAGAAATTTGGTCATGTACATAAGATCTATTTATATTAAAGTAATTATTTATGACGACATCCATATAAATACTATCAATAAAAATAGAAAGTTTTTTATATACTTGTCTGTAGTTTTAATTGAATATTTTCAATCTCCATTTTGTATGCTCCTTTCAAGATTTCTTTTCCTGTGTAGCAACTTTATGATAAACCCTACAATATCAATGAGATAAAAGTTACCATTTGTAGAATTTGCATACTTAAAACTGAAAGTGGAATGTACCTGTATGCGGCAATTGCTGAAATGATGGCTTTGCTGAATACTTGACTGAGGATTTTACATCATAAGATATCTCCTCACTAGAAGTCTTACCATCCACTTCAGGATCAGTATTGTTCACTGGAAACACTTGCTGTACTTTCCACAATCGATGGGTTACCTCAATAATGTTGTCAACATAAAATGGAAGGTCTTTTTCATAACAAGAACTTATGACATCCACAACTTGTGTAATGCTTTGAAAGGAGAGGAAACATCATGGTTAACATATTATCTTTTTATATGTACAGGCTGAACGATATGCAAATTTATGACCACATTCAACGTATTTGTATACTGGCTTTTTGCTGCCAAACAAGCTTTTATATGTCTAGTATGGTAAAACCTGTCAGCCTGCTAGCTTTGCATCAAAATGTGTCGGCTTAATTTACGAAAGCCAGTGCATGAAAGTATTCAAATTGATATATCACCGGTCATACATTTGTATGTCACTTTGTAAAAAATCTCTTTACAATCATTATTTACTTATTTATTTATTTATTTTTATTCAAACATATAAATTCTTTAAGTTTGCTCAAATATTAATTATTATTATTATTATGAAAAAAAATTACCTTGGAAGAAATATGACTATTGGGCCTTCATGTTTRACAGCTGGCAATATATATTCCAAGTTGTATTCAGGAGACTGCAAGTCTAGAAGAGCCTGGAAATTGTCATTATCAGATATTCTTTTTAGATAAATGTGATGTTTGCTAAGAAAAAAATACTTGAGAATCATAAAAAAAAGTCTTGTACTTACAGCATCCAATTCACAAGTTTTAGGAATTTTTTCTGTACATTTTTTGACGCTGCATTCATGGAAAGTCACATTTTCTGGCCATTGGACAGACTTTGTTTTGTTCCAAGAGTTTATCCAACTAAAAAAGTTTTCTTTGCCATTTTTCATATGCTTAGTATTGTTGTCAAAGCTATGAACATGTCCTTCTTTTCCAACTACAATGAAATGGGCTAACTGTGAGCAATCTGTTCAACTGCTATTTTCAATTTACATGAAATCAGTAATTAGGAGTTGACCATTGGAATTTACTTTTACACTGCTGCCAGTCAAAAATGTAAAAGGTACCAACTAATTATTTTTGATTGATGGAACCAAAAAACCAAATTTGAGCAGGCAGCTTGCAAAACTACTAATTGCAAGATCACATAATATTGAAAACTGCAGTAATACTGTATGATATTATAGTGGCAGTTCATGATATGCTAATTATATATACATATATATATGTATATATATAACGGGGTTCTTATATAGCGCATTTTACATGGTCTCAATGCGCTTCACAATCATGACCAGTGGAGGACTTTACGGGCTGCGTATTTAAGCGCTAGTAGCAGCCGTGCAGCTTACAATCATGAGTTTTTTGTGCTTTTAGCTACTGTAAATTGGAAAGTGCTGAGCAAGTGAACATACAGTATTAGTGATAATAAGCTTACACAAAAATAATAATGATAACAACCTGCTCTAGAAAGAAACAAAGTCATTGCTCCTGATCCTGTACCAGATTCTAGCACAACACTTCCTTGTCCAATTTCAGCCATTGATATCATAGCTTGGATATCTTTAGGGTATGATGGTGTAGCAACTCTTTTCATATGTAAAACATATTGTTCCAGGGAGGGTCTTTTTACTCTAAATGGTAAGTCTTCCACGTCGATTACTTTTCCATTCTCTTCTCTTCCAATAATAATCTCATGATCAAATGTAATTTTCTTTCCATGTCTAGACTTAAGCTTTGCTTTAACACCCGGAGCCAATCTGAGAAGACTAGAAGATCCACCAAATCGACTTTCGACCACTAGAACAATCTCTCCGCTTAGAAATGGAGGGTTTGTTTTGAGATTCAAAAATGCCCGCGAATCTTTACCAATACCAAATATCTCTCTCCACTTAAATCCTTTTGCTATCTTCAAAATATTCTCCCGATGAATTATTTTGTTTATGAGTTTGGACACAATCGGGACAATCTTTTTCATTTTCTATCATTTTCACCTTATTTCACCTTCTTTCTGTGTTTTTGCTGAAATCTTAAAGAATCAGAGCCTGCGTTGTTTATTGTCAGTGGACTTTTGAGGTCCCAGTCTTCCACGGCCTCCGCCTATCTTTCATAATTTTCACGTGGACATGTTTTTGAATTCATGCTTTGAACATTTCCAGCTTTCAAAAGCTTTCCAACGAAATATTATTCATTGCCAGGGTTTATCAATGTACCTCTGTACTGTCTATCATAATTTGGTTGTGTTTTTTTTGTAAACGTTGAAGAGTAATTTTCAAGGCGTTTTGTCGAGAATCCAAAATGGGTCTAGAAGAAAAGATGTCGGATATATCTTCGTGGTTCTATCGTGGGGAAGGTAATGATACTATGGTTGTTGGACTCCGGGGACAAAACCTTGTGTTAAGGTTGAAAAAAAGATACAGACAGAAGACTGGAAGCATCAAAGATCAGAATTATTCAATGAATGGTAGTGCTGAGCAGCATGACAACTCTCTGGACTTCTCTAAAAATGTCTTCCTGCCTCTTATGGGCGGGAAATACGTGCGAGTTGGTGAGATAGTGCGCTTACCACATGGTTTTGCAGCTCAACTTGATATTGTGTGTGAACCTTTCAGGCCTAAACATAGGCTTCATAAGGGCATAGATACCAGTGCAGCCACAGCTATTGCCATGGCTGACTTTTGTCATTTGCCAGAGGACATACCATGGAATCCACATCTTGGTGTAACAGAAAAAGTACAAGACACTCGTGTTGCTGAAAATGCATCTAGTAAACCAACATTTTCAGTCGAAATCAAGCCAAAATGTGGCTTTATACCATTTTCAACTTACATAAAGAAAGAACATTTTGTCAAGCTTTCAACCTGTCATTACTGCATGCTACAACGAATGAAGGTTGCAGAGGGAAAATATCCCAGACCAAGTCAATACTGTCCTGTAAATCTATTTTCTGGTGACATAAGTCGTGTGTTTTGTGCTTTGCAATCACTAGTTTTTGATCCTCAGAATAATTTAAGGATCTTCAAGGATGGCTTCCCAATTTTTACTGAAGAAATTGCCCAAGATGCTATCAAGAATGAAGGTGTGTGCTGCTCGGCATATGTACTGGAAAGGAATTTAATCAACTGTGGATGGACACAAGTCAGTATTCCTACTCATCTTCAAAGCTCCCTTGAGACTCACAACTGCGATACATTAGGCCTCTGCTCTAATAGTTTCATGAAAAATGTTCTTCAAATTCTTGTCCATGATTCAAACATTACCAGTCACAAAATTCCCCAGACTACAGAATTTCACAATCAAGTTTGTGAAGGACAGGGTCCAGTAAGTCATATCCAAGATACTTTCAAAGAGAATAAGGRAGTAATGACTTTTGGGCGTGGTGGAGTGTTAGCATGGTTGCACCTAGTGCAAAGAATGGATGACGTTGATGTCGAGGGGCTATTCCCCTTGTATATAAAGATAAATAAGTACTTTGAGCATAATCCCAAAGAAAGGGGAATATTCTCAGTGGATGGGCCTTATGATACAGGCATTTGGACTGACGTCAGCAGGTCAAATTCAGTGGATAAAGCTCATGGGATCCATTTGCCAAAACTGAACAAGATAGAATCGTGGTCAACAAGAGACATTGTTTTCAAGATTTGTCAGTTTGCTGTTGCTAGCACAGCTAAAGATTGCTCTATGATGCTCACTTTCCAAAGACATCATAATCAGCCCAAACATTTACCATTCATAGAAGATGACACTTGTGGGTCTAAAGTATACATTTTGTATAACATAGATCTGGTAGATTTGGACCCCAAGGAGTTTGACAGAGTTCAAAAATATTACAGTGACAGCTGCAATGCTGTCAGGCACTATTTAAAAGCCCTTTAAACAATGTAAACAATATGGCAGAAATGGAGTAAGAAAATGGACAAGCATTTGAGAATTCAACAAGTACTTATCCATTAGCTTACCATTTGTACAATGAATATTTTTGATACAATGACAAAGTTACTAATTTTGGACTGTCTAATTTTGTAACCGCTTTTCATGGAAAAGAAATCCAGCCTATCACAGGAAAGCATTCCGAGACTAATGATAATGAAGACTACGAGTAACAGGGTCAGTCAAGAGGAAAAACCAACATGTGGGACACTGACATTGAGCATTGTTGAATACACTTGGATTTAGAAACAATGAAAAAAAATATTACAATAAATATATTTTATGTCTTAATATGATAAGTCATTGCCGAGTCTCCCTAGCTTAAGTATAATGATTATTTATTTATTTTATTTAATCAAATTTCAAATACATTACATTCAGATTCAGTCTAATCTAATGTATCTGACCTAGACCAAACAGAATTCAAGATTCCTTTATATAGTCTAGCCGAGATTATGTACACACTCTCCACTCTTACTACAAATGCATAAATTTAATGCTCTTAACTTACATTGGTTTTTGTAATCATAGAGCCAAAGTAAATTTAACAGGAGTACCCAGAGACAAACAGTCACTCATGACAAGGGAGAGAGAACAGCGCATCAAACAAACTCTATATTTTTGATGTGCTGTCTGTAGGAAATGAACTGGCAATCTGACCCATGGAACTCAAAGTGGAAAAATGGTAAATGAAGAACGTTTCTCACTACTCCATCCTTCCACCCCATTGATGACCATGTTTCCACAAAATCAATATAATATTGTAGTCTACATGCATTTATTACTTTTATTATTTTATTCAGTTGTAACTGTCTATCACAATGTGATAATTTAATCCTATTCTACATAATCATTCTGCTTTAATGTTTTAACATTTAAACCTAACCATAAAATACAACATGAAACAACTTAATTGAAAATTGCAATAGAGGACAATAAAGTGAATATCAAAATCCATGTTAGTTTAAATGACATTTTACCTTTACATTTTTTCGAGTAGCAGCCCTAAATTTTTTAGTCGCTTCAAAAACTAGAAAAACAATAATGAGTCAGAAATTTGAAAGAGGTTATTCAAAGATTGTAAACATTCTCCACAAAACCTTTGGTAAATTAATAAACATTCCTATTGAAGAATCTGAGATAGAAATAATCCACGTTTTTTGATGAGTGGAATACTTATACTTTTGTAATTTCCATTCTTCCACTTTTCTTTCTATTTGTTCATCTTTACAAAATTATCAACCTTCACATGAATAACGATTTACAGCTAGATGGAGTTCTTTTCACTTGACAGCAACTGGTTTCATGTCAGATGCACTGACAGCTTTAGCATTCCAGATCTCTTCGGCATACTGTTTGATGGTACGGTCTGATGAGAACTTCCCTGATGATGCTACATTCATTAAAGCCATCGTGTACCACTTCTTGGGACTCTGTGGGGGRAAAAAAATGGAATGAAGCTACCAAATGTTCAGCATTTCATGTTTTGATTGGTGGATTGATTATGGTAAATAAGAGCACAAGATGCACCATTCATTTAAGCTTTTTGTCTCCTGATGATACAACTTGCCTATAGACCACTCGCACATGACATCTATTGTGATTGGTGGATTGAATATGGTAAATAAGAGCAAACGAGATGCACCATTCATTTAAGCTTTTTGTCTCCTGATGATAAAACTTGCCTATAGACCACCTGCATGTGACGTCAAAGCAGCTCAATTTGGATGACAAAACAAAATTAGAATTTCAATGTTCTGAGAACTGGAAACATTGTTATGTCCTCCAAAGTGATCTGCATTCCGTTGTACTGCAAGGGGTCTATTGAGATGAAACCCTTTACCTTATAAGTCTCACTGACTTGTTCCTGGCACTTGAGATAAGCATCAAAGTCTGCCATCAGTAAGAACCTGAATTCATGAAATTTATGCCATTAGAATATTATAAAGTAGTGTTCTGTAAATCAAAATGAAATATTAAGGGTGTTTCCTTAGACATTGGAAGTAATCAATGAAATTATAATTGATTAATAACCCCCCCCCCCCCCCAGTTTAGAAAGTCAATCAAAACTACAATGCAAATGATCTCCATTCTATGACAAACCTATGACAAATTATAATTATGCAATATAGTAGAGTTGTGCTTTGTTTATGTGACATTTGTGTTTATGGTCACTTGGTTGTAACATTTAATAATAAAACATCAATAAAATATATTTATTTTTCTTTAAAATAATTATATGATTAATTATAATTATAATAAAAGTAAAATAACCAATTTAAGTTGTCCAATCTCTTTTAATTTAGGATCTCCATTTTTGTTTGTGTCTTTGATCATTGCAGATTACCTGTCATGGTAGACCATGGAGTTGTAGATGTCTTGGAATACACCATGTTCACGTGGAGAAAAGTGGTTGTCTCTGATCTGATCCAAGGCCTTTCTAAGCTCATGATTACTGTTATAGTAATTTTGGGGGTTGTACCTGACAAACACATAAGATATTAAAGTAGATGTTAGATCATAGAGCAGTTTTCATATGACTGAAAAGCTCAGTAACGTAAGCATGACATGCCTTGACCATGATGCTTTCTAGATTTTAAATTGGCTGATTTTTTTCACGTGCAATATGATTGGTCTTGCATTGCCTTGACCTTGGTGTGACCATGTCCGAAGTTTAATGGTGCTTAAAAATGAGCCTTTACCATTGCCAGTAAAAATTTTCAATGTCTAATTTCTTGGTGGGGAATTTTGATAACTTATAACTTAGCCAGGAAGTGTCTGGACAATTATTTGGCTAGGAGGATGAAAAATCCATGCAAGAAATCTAATTCTAAAAAGGCTTTATTCCAATGATTTATTCTCAAAATGTTTTAGTGGATTCTTACCCTTCTCTTCTAAGTTTCTCAACCTCTTTCACTGTCATTCCAAAGATGAACATGTTTTCTTTGCCCATTTCTTCTAACATTTCTACATTGGCACCATCCAATGTCCCAATAGTTAGGGCACCATTCATCTAGAGATAAAGGTTATTGAATTCATTTATTTATTTATTCATTTATAGTTATAATGTACACCCTTTAAGGTAGGGCAATCATTGATGTAATTCCTAATCATTTATTACTGACAGTATATGAATGCCTGAAAAACGTATCATACAAGAAAAATGTGCAATATGACATGTCAAATTTAAACTTTTGCTTTCATCTTATCCATTTGAGACAAAAACATTATTGAGGTGTAAATTATTGCAATGGTTGGTTTCTAGTATTTCGAACATTTTCACAATGTGGAATTGTACAAGATCTTAATATGGGACATTTCTGTGCTAAGTTTATGATGATTTTGTTCAAATCATGTGTATATTTAGGCTAGTCCAAAAATCCAAATTTAAATTTAGGGTTGTTCCCTCATGACATGCATGCCTCATGCACCCCTCATGACATGCATGACATGCATACCTCATGCACCCCTCATGACATGCATCCCTCATGCATCCTTCATGACATGCAAGCCTCATGCACCCCTCATGACATGCATGCCTCATGCACCCCTCATGACATGCAAGCCTCATGCACCCCTCATGACATGCATGNATGCACCCCTCATGACATGCATGCCTCATGCACCCCTCATGACATGCAAGCCTCATGCACCCCTCATGACATGCATGCCTCATGCACCCCTCATGTTGGATATCAAAACATACCATGAATTTCATGTTTCCAGTACCAGATGCTTCTGTACCAGCAAGAGAGATCTGGAAATGGAAAAGTCCGAAACAAAAATTAGTTTATAAATAGAATGATTTTCTATTATTTACATGCATAAAGAACATCAAAGAGGCAAGTATATCAAACACACACCTGTTCTGAAAGGTCTGCAGCTGGGATGACTAAAAGCAAGATAAAAAAAACATGATTTAAAATGCAAAACTTATACAAAACTATCATAAAATGTGGCCAATGTATAATTCAGTGGCAGATCCAGGGACGGCTCCATAGACTGCATTATGGATTGCATGGATCATCATCAGAAAATGGATTGTAATCATCTGACATTACTTTTTTTACTAAAACTATATGCCCAAATTCCAGTCAATCTAAGTAAACCATGAACACGTGTTAAACATGTTCTGACCAATCACTATAATAGTCGATCAATAATTAGAAATGAATTCGTTCTCACCTGCGATTGGTCAGAATGCTATGTTTAACATTATTCCAGACATATTTCTGGTGTTCTTCTTTTGACCGTAATATTTTCAAGCTGCAAGCTCGCTTGTGAAATAGTTGGTTGCCCCCAATTCAAAACACAGATATTATCGGAAGTAACTTCTATTGATAGTAAAGAATGGCCTGTCTTACCCTTTTCTGCGAAGGATACTCTATAGTTCTCAAGGAACACAAACTTCAGTTTGTCTCCAATAATAGGATCATTGTTGACCACTGTTATGTAAAAGTATTAACTGATCAATAACTGTTAATTATATCCAGGAAACAATTAGTTAATAGACAGATGGGTGAATAAAAGGGATGGATTGGTGAATAAAAGGGATGGATTGGTGAATAAAAGTGATGGATGGGTGAATAAAAGGGATGGATGGGTGAATAAAAG